TATATTTAGAGAGTGATATTAGAGTTTAGATAAAATATCTCAATAAGTAATATTGAGAAATTACAATAGAGTACATACAATATATAGTTTCTTTACACACAACAGAGCATATATCATATAATCTTTTTAAAACAAATATGAATCAGAAGACTAAAGCACAAATCAAAAAACATATCCATGTTGTATACTTCATCACTATTATAGAGGATCAATTAGTTATCATATATTATACATAGGCACAAATACTTATCGCTAGTTCCCCATGTATCCAAACACGAAACGACATACATGAGTATCTTAAAACACTACTACCTCCCAAACACATAACGGTTAGGGCACATAGATCAAACTGTTTCCTCATACACCCGAACACGAAATGGTTATGTATAAGTACACACTTATCACTTTGCCAATACATCCGAACATGGAATGGTTATGTACGGTCATACTAAAGCCTAGGACAATGTAAATGTTTTCGAATAACTTCTTTACATAATAAGTTATGCACACATATCAAAATCATATTTCGAAAATACAAAATGGAATAACATTTATAACGAAGTAAAACTTTAACAAATACGGAAGACAAATTAAACATGTGCACATTTTTATACTGAAAATACGTAAAATACTTCAAAATTACGTAGGTTATGAATTCATAATATCCATTTACCTTAGATTCTTAGCAGTCGTAGTTTTAATTCCAGCAGAGTTCCGGTTTTATTTATAATTTTTTTTTTCTAAAAAATTTGTTAGAGTTTCAAGATGATTTTTGGTCACTTTCTTGACTGAAAAATATTAACACAATACTCAAAAACTAATCCCAAAAATCAAAGAGAAATCGAACTTCAAAACTTAAGAAAAAACTTATATTTCTAACGGTTTATATCTTCATTTTGATCGTGAGCCTTATTCTTCTTCTCTTCCTCTTTCTCTGCTTTCACAAATTTAGTAGAATTTCTCCAAGTTTTTTATTTAAATATCAAAATACTCTCAAATGTCACACACTTCATACTCTCTCTTCCTTCATCTCTATGTTTTTTACTATTTTTCTCTTATTCGAAATGTCTATTCCTCCATTTTCTTATCTCCTATTTAGAAGAGTAGGGAGCTACCAGAAAAAAGCACTTAAAAAGTTAACATTTTTTACTTATCTTTTTACCTAAAAGGTTTTTTAATATGTCACTTCATTTTTCACATGACGTTTTATCTAGAAGATATTTTCACATGTCATTTCATCTGAAAGTTATCATTTTATCTAATAGTTATTATTTTTCATTATACATCTTCATTTAAAATATTTCTACATTTTCTCTTATCTCTTCATGCTTATTCCAGCTCTTTCATCTTTATCCATTATTTTTTCATTTGACTTTACACTATATCCTTAACCTAATTATATATTGTCAAACACATACAAAGATAAATTAAATATATCGAATATAAGAAATCAACTTGGATGTATTTTCAAGCTATCACATATAGATCATATTTTTATTTACTAAAATTTCTTATTTCACACTTAATTTTTAAAAATATTCAAATTACAACTATAATTTTTTAAAAAATTTAAATCAACTTTTAATTTTTTAAAATATTCGAGTCACTTTTTTGCATTAGTGAAAAATTAATATTCATAAATATTAACACACATGAATAATAACATTATTTATTTTAATCTATGTTAACACTACATTATATTTCAAATCTTATTATATAAAATAATTTCTATTGTGCTGTTTTTTAAATTATTTACTTTTAAATCAACAATAACTTATAAAATCCCTTTAAAATGTTTTAATTATTGTACATACTTGATAATTAAACAATAATTTATAAATTAAATAATATAAGAAAATTGATGTAAAAGTTATTTTTATTGAATTCAATATATTTTTTTAAAAAAATAAATAAAAAAAGTTATATCTATATATCATTTGAAGATGATGTAGTCACACTGTAATTAAAAAATTTATTAAAAAAAATTCTTAATTATTTAATTAACTAATAGCTTATAAGATTTTATAATAACATATGCACATTGTTTTTTTTGTGTATAACTTTTATTTTAAAAAGCTTATGTTGGTCAAGTCAAACCTAAAACAACATTTAATAGTGTTAAAGACTATATACCTGTGTCATGTTTACCATTTAAACAAAATTAGCAATTTATAAATTATATATATATATACCAAATAGATAGGTGAATTAATACAATTTATAAATTTGTGTTGGTCAATCACTTCAGTATAGGTGGGACTAAAAGATTTAGATAGTTGGTGAAATAATTTTATTATTATAAAGAATTTTTAAAATTGGTACAATCATTTTATATTTCTCTATTTTTTAACGTTTTTTAATTTCAGAAAAAAAATTATAATATTGTCAAAAAAATTATCAACTTAGTCAATAAACTACTGATTATGTAATATATTAATTTATATCTTAATGGGTAACTTAAAAAATGAATTAAAATTTAAACTTTGTACATTATATATTTTATGTTTTTATTAAAATATAATATACAATTCCAAATATATATTATAAATAATTTATTGAATTAGGGTTTACCCAATAATTGTTATTATTATATAGATTAAGTCGGCAAAGTTGACATGGAAGTTCTGCAATTGATATCAATTTTTGTTACGACCATTACGTACCCAAAAAAGATTTTCTTCCCCTCCACCGCCACCTTTTCTTTTTAAACTTTATTTTATTAATCTTCCAAATTTTACTTGGAAAAATTAAAAGATTGTTTGCTGGTACCCACTTTCATAATCTATTTGTCTCTCTAAATAACTATGGTCCAAATATTTCTTAAAAAATATATACATATACAGTCTGAGATTGCTTATTGTTGACAAAATAATAATAACAAAAATACGAGATTTAATTATTCACAAAAATATATATATAATTTCTTTTTTGTCATAATAAAATAAAAATATATTACAAATAGAATTTATGTAAACAAATTAATTGAATTTCCTTTTACAACATTTATCAGATATCTACAAAATGTACACAAAATATCCCTGAAGTCAAGCCACATCAACGTTTATGTGGCTGAAGCTGAGGCTTGACCGTGATTCTTCTTTCTTCTCCAACCTGCATTTAATCATTATCTGAGATTACCCAGTTTACCAGCATCCATCACCATGGTATTCATGACCCCTAACCTAAATCAGTAGAAGAATTACATATATATACATGTAGATCATTTCAGTAACCTAGTTATATTTATTGTGGAGAAGGAAGAGAAGGGTCCTACAAAAATTAGGCAACAAGGACAGAGAGGGCAGAAAATTTCAGAGAAGAAGGGATAATAGGGAAGAAAGGAGAGAGTAGGTGGAGGGCCACTTTTCATCTCCTTCGCAGGTGTCATTCATCTCTCATATTATACAAAAGGGTCCCTCTCCCACCCCAACCCACACACTTGGAAGCCAAAATATATATGTTCGTTTAGAAGGTGCCCCTTTCTTCGATCACCAGTTATCTGATAAAAAAACCCAAAGAATTTGAGGGGTTTTCATGGCGGAAATTAGCAATTTTGAATCCTACCCACCTCTGATTCTTCACCATTTAAAGAGCATGAGCAATGGTGAAAGCAGCCAAACGGGGAATAAGACTGACCCAGATGATGATATCCACGAGTGCTGCTACATGGATGATCCTATTCCGGTTATTGATTTTCTGTGTTTGGATCCGGACAAGCTTGGCGAGACTTGTAAAGAATGGGGTGTTTTTCGTTTGGTCAATCATGGGGTTCCCGTTTGCCTGTTGACCCAGATTCAGGAGCATGCTAAAATGCTGTTTTCTCTCTCTTTTGAATCCAAACAGGAGCTTTTCAACTCCCCCCTGTCCTACTTCTGGGGTACCCCTGCACTTACCCCATCTGGGACAGCCTTGTTTGGAGGTCGCCCAAGTATTAGTTTGGTTGAAGGAATTAGCTTTCAGCTCAATGAAATCTCAAGCTCTCAAGCAGAAAACCCAATGCTGGAAACTTTCAGGTACAAAAACAATTCTAACGTTTGCTTCATATTGCAGTATATCTCTTCGGTTTCTTAATTTACTGATCACATCTCTTGTTTCTTATTTAATTAATAAGGTGTTTGCTATGGGGAAAGTGAATAGTAGAGTTTGGTGAGTAAATAAGAACAAAACTACCTTTTGTTATGATTTAAGAACAAAATTTTGATAGAAAAATATTTCAATGGACAATCCTTCGCTTTGGGAGCATTTGTTTGAGACATGATCCTGTGGAGAATTTGTTCAGTTCATACCCCCTATCATGTGTCCTTCAAATTTCAGATTCCCCACATTTCTGTTATTTAATCAGCCTAGTGGTAATAATTAGGTGAAACTCACATGAAGGAGATAAATTTAGGATCCTCCTCTTTACCTCTTAATTTTCTTTTAGCCGGCAAAAATCTATTTGATGGGACAAAGATGTAGAAGAATATCATCAAAAGGCAGAAGGATATTTATATATAGATACACATATGTCCGCACATTATATATATTATTCATATCTGGCCAGCACTCTTGAGATATGATTCAAATAAAGCAGCACAGTGACAGTGGTTTTAAAGTCATGTGAGTTGATGAACAGAAAATTAAATCAGTCACTCATGTTTTTCCTTTTGGGTTTGTTGGACTATCAATATCAATCTAAAAAGATAGAGGAAAAAAAGAAAGTATCTCTCATTTCTGTATGTTTTCTCAAAAGGAAACATGCTTTTTACTGTTCTCCAACGTCACTTCCATAATGATCATGTTCAGTGTTGAGAACTGTTGCATTCTTGATAGAAATGTTTCATCTTTTCTCACTTCATCATGCAATTGATGATGCATTTCTTGCTACTTGCTCATCAAATCTTGTCCTTTTCATTTGTTATTGTTATTAAATAATTGGTTCTCAGTTGTGACCAATTATCTTCATATTTTAAGTTTTCACTAAAAAAAAAATTGGGTAACTTTATTATTTAATATAGAATTAGAATTAGACGTTATATTTAAATACTAATCTGATTTAGCTAATTTTTCTATAATATTTATTATTATTTGTAAGTATCACTATCTTATAAATTTTATTATGTTGTGCCACCGTTTAGTTATATTGTATTATTATTATGATTATCATCAATTATTAATATATAATATTAAAAATCAATAATAACAATAATGATAGTCAATAATATAGTAATAAGATATATATATATATATATATTACTTAAATCTAATTTACGCATATACACCTTCACCTGTAAATAAAAGATTACCATAAACTTGCTTGATAGCTATAATTAGTTTTAGCACTTTTTAACCCATTTAAGTCTTTGAAATAATCAAGATCAATTACTAGTTTAGTTTGCCTTGATGATATTGTATAAGTACAGGATTGATCAACTTAACTGTATGCTTTCTCTACAAGAATGTTGATGGAAGAATATGGAAGACACCTTGCAAGACTTGCTACCAATATTTTCCAAGCTATGGTGAAGAACCTAAATCTTGATCCAGAAAATTCAAGCTCCAACTTGTCAGAATCCGCAGGGACCATGCGTGTTTATAGATATCCTCCTTGCCCTAATGGGGCTACAGGCCTGCATGTGCACACAGATAGTTCTGTGCTCTCCATATTGAGCCAAGATCAAGTTGGTGGACTAGAAGTTTTTAAAGATGATGAGTGTTTTCAAGTAAAACCAGTCCCGGACACGCTTATTGTCAACATTGGAGACATGATGCAGGTGATGATCTAGCTTTGTTTCGATTATAATACGTCTATAAAATAATTAACTTGACGGGTATTTAAAAAAAAATTAAACTTTATTATGGGTAATACTGTATGTAAGTCAATAATCTACGTAAGTTTTTACTTGTCTACGATATTATATATTCTAATGAATGTATGGATAAATATGTTGAATTAGGCAATAAGCAACGACGAATTTAAGAGCGTGAAACACAGAGTGAAGTCGAGCAGAGAGAAGGAAAGATTCTCAGTCTGCTACTTTATATTTCCAGGTGAAGGCAGGTTGATTCGAAGTTCCAAGTATAAGCCTTTTACTTATACTGATTATCAAACCCAGGTGCAGCTGGATATAAAAACTACAGGATCTAAAGTTGGACTTGAAAGGTTTAGGCTACTTGCTGATCAGCCTTGTTAATTAACCAGAAATGCTTTATACACATATCTCTATATATATGCACAGGAGACTTGTATATTAATGTCTATATTTTATAGACATGCATGGATCTATTTATGCTGGTTGGTCTAATGTAAATAATTGTTTCTCAGTCAATCATGTCTTCTTTTTTTTTTTTTCCTTCTTCTTCTTTAGTATGAAATTTTAGATTATAACTTCATAATTGAACATGAACATGTATATATGTGTGAGTACATATACATGCTTACACGTGATGATATGCACATCATATATGTACACACTGTTCCATGTCTCCTGCTTCTTGCCATGACGTCAAGATAATATAGAAAATGTCTTTATTTTTACTATTAAAATTGATAATTAGTAGAATAATAATGAAAATAATAATAAATTTTAAAATTTTAATTTCTAATGCCTTTTAGAAAATTATTTTATTTACATTTTAATTATTTTAAAAATATGCGAGTATCATATTTTTATACGTAACAACAAACCAAAACCTAATTCCCTTTCTCAACTATTGATGTTGGGCCCAGGTGGAGTCATGTCCGTACATTCTAAAAGTTTAAGTATGTTATTGGGCCTTCACTGTCCCATCCCACCTTAGTATCTTTTTCTCTTTTTTTTTTTTTTTTGAACTTCCAATCTAATTTAAACTTGAAAAAAGGGGAGATTTTTATTTTATTTTTTTCAATTTTAATGTTTTTTTTTCCAAATAAATTTTAAAATAGTTTGAGATTTTATTTATTTACTTTAATTAGGAAGATGTATAAATTGTATTGGAGTAACAAAAAAATTTCACGTACAATTAAAAATAGAAATTTCATATTTCATCAATTTTGATAAATTTTTGGAGGGTATAGTTTTAATTTCATATAAAATTTTAATACATATGAATATAATTTATGCTATGTTTTAATAGGTATGTTTACATATTTTTAATATAATATTTATTGACTTTTGGATTCATGCACTTCGCCTTTTTTTTTGTTTTTATTAATAAATTATGATTCTAGTTTGTGCATTTAATTAAATTAACTTTAATGCTAAATGGAGTCCAACGATATAGTTAGTACAATTCTAATAATGACAATTTACCTTATTCCATTACCTTAATGTTTCAAATAGTATGGTAAATTATCCTGTTATAGTTTATTTATTTATTTTTTTAATTTTTAATCTCATATGAAAAAGAGTAATTTTTATATTTTTAATTAAATTATATATTTAAATTAAATTATGTGTCTTATGTATATTCTCGTTAGAGATTGAGTATATTATTTTTTATTAAAATATTAATTATATTATTATTATATATAAATTTCGCATAATTTTGTTAACGTGTATTTTTAAAAATAAAATAAAAATTTATAATAGATTATTTTTTTGTACTCAACATGAATGATATCCTAATTTGAATCTTCATTTATTTTACTTTCATTTTTAATATGTTCTTCTTAATTTCCATAATATTTAAACTTTAAATGAATTAAATGTCATAAAACTAGTATTTATTAAAAATTTATGATATTTTTTAATAGAAATATTCAATTATAGAATTGTTTATTGTGAAACACGTGTATTTATTATTTATTGTAATTATTTTATTCAAAAAGCAAAATAAAAGGTAAAATAAGTGACTAAACACATTAAAAAAATAGTTTTTCGGACATAAAATAAATTAAAAACATATCTATATGAAACTTTAAACTAAATTATGTTTAATTTATTAATAATTATTTTTCACATTACATAGGATGAAAGTTAATTTTATTTAAAATGCATGGTAGATTTATTACTCATACGTCATGGGAAAATAAATTAATAAAATTATAACATTTGTTAATATATATATATATATATATATATATATAGATGTACGTTTTGCAATGTGATAAGTAATTAATTAATCAGAACTTTTCTGACAATTAGAGACGGATTATGTACATAAAAAGAAGACTTAGAACTTGAAAGTTAGAGGGAGGTTCCATGTATCTATCAATCTCTAAATATAAATTAGAAAACAATAATAATTATATAATTAACCATTATTATTTAAATTAGAAATACTGATTATTATTTAAAATTTATTTCTATATTTAAAATTTCAAATAAATATTGAATTCGTTATAAGACAATACTTGTTCTAGAAATAATTAAATTAAAAATTTCTACACGTATAATAAATAATAATAGATAGATACGAACCATATAATTTGAATTATGACAAATCTCTGCCACCCATGAAAACGTTTAATTAGGAAATATAAAGAAAAAAAGGTTTTAAGGATAGAAGTTAATAAGTTCAGAGAATAGAATATAATAGTCCGTTGGGTAAAATTAAATTATAAACAAATCTTGACCGCTCGTGTGGTGGGTCCCATTTACACTAACCGTTTGATTGAATGCAGAGAATCTCGGAGTTCCCTGCGACGAAAGTATTAGCGGAATGTACAAAACTAATAAGAGAGGGAGAGAGAGAGAGAGAGAGGGGAGTACCATAACTCCTGTTTTCTCTCAGATTCTTCTCTTTCTCCGCTGTTGATCGCAGCCATTCCCTTTTCGCAGAATTTTCTCACTTGGGATTTTCATACAATGGCGATAGTTTTGGATGAGCCGGAGAATAACCGGAAAAGCAAGCAAAAGAAACTCGTTCGTAAAAGGAAGCTCCTTCATGAAAAAGTAGAGGTCATACACTTAACCGCTCTTCTCCTCGTTGTTTTTTTTTTAACCGTTTGGGAATTTCTGGGATTTTCGTTTTCATTTCAGGGCTTTACTAATTTTTTAAGTGCTTGTGTGTACCATTGTTGCTGTTGCTTCTTCAAAGAACGTGATCGTTTTCTGTGTCATCTTTCAAATACTAATAAATTATGTGGCCTGTTTGGTTTTAGGGTTTAAGGAGAAGTCTTTTTACGCACTATTAATTGTTTGATCGTAGCTACATTGTTCCCTTCCACCATCTAGTATTATTTTTTCATTATTGATTTATATCTCCATGCAATGCTTGTTTCGGGGATTAACTCTAGAGGTTAACTGATGTATAGTCAAGTGGATTTTGTTTAACAATTTTCTTTATTAGGATCGACGGGTCAGATATTCGCCAAAGGCATTTTAGTAATCATAGTTCATATGGGCATTGGTTTTGTATTAGGAGGTTTATTAACAAATTAAAGTCACAAGAATATTTGAGGATGATAGTAGTCATGTAATTTTCCTATTATCAATCCATAAGCATGTCACTTGTGGAGTTCATCCAAGGTACATTGGAGGCCGGTCATGTTAATGGAATGTTCTGTTGGAGGATACTATATATATATATAATAAATTAGGAAAAAGTCAAACGGTCTTCAAGGGAAATATCTAATATTGTTTTTTGGGATAGGAAATAAAGTCTACAACTTTCTTTTTTGTTTATTTGCACAGAAAGCCAATTTTAAAATGCATAGAACATTTCAAAAAAAATTTCTCCTTTTTGCCCTATGGTACTCGGATAATTCAGTTGTTTGATTTTATTTATTTTGAAATGTTATCAGTTTCAGTAGAGCTATAGTCTTCCCTTATTTTCCATGTTACCCTTTTCCAATGATGGCTGATCTAGTTCTGTTTGGAACTTGTGGAATGCTTGTTTAGCGGGTTCTTTCCAAGTGTGGCATCTATTACTATTAAAATATTTCAATCCTTCATTTATCAGTTATTTCATAATACGTTTCATAAGTTATAAGGCTCTTTAATTCGAATTAGATTTTTTTTTGGTCTTTTGTGTTTGTAAAAGAGGTGTAAA